GATTTTCAGCCCTGAGGATTAAAAGAAGGTTCGAAGCTCAAGCAAAGGCAGACGAAGAAGGCCCTGCAACTTTACTCGATTTACTCCGATTCTTTGTTGCTATAGCATGTTTAAGATCGTTTTCTTCGATAACCAACCCTAGTTAAAAATTCAGTCACAATTTTGATTTAATTTCTATGAAAATCACCTATGGAACTTATAAGGAATTATCTTCCCCCTTTCTGCATTGCCTTCGCGGTGTAATTGTTGCACACTTGGCGCGTATTCGAGAGGTCCAAGTTCGAGTCGCGGCGAGGGCATTGTTCATTTTTCGCATTTCTACTTCAAAATAACCTAATGACTCTACAGTGGCGCCCGAACTAAAAGGTGCTGGATGATGATTCTTCACCACCAGGATATGGCGACTGGATCCTCTAATTCCCAGTCGCCCTTTAGGTATTTTCTCCCTCCTTTCTGCATGCCTTTGTGGTGTAACGGTAGGACACACGGTGCGTATTCGAGAGGTCCATGTTCAAGTCCCTACGAAGGCATTGCTCATTTTTCACGTCTCCAACACCAAAATAACCTAATGGATCTACAAACTGAATTTCCATACTGCTTTTCTCATTCACAAGAACTTGTTTAGAACTTCTTAATGCTTTTAGAATTCTAATATCTTAGTTTTGTACATTTCATTAATATTTCCCACGACACATGGCGGTACGTCCGTGTTCGCTTTACTTTTGCTCTTGAAGAAGAAGGACCTATGTGTGATCGTCTTTGAAATCGATAGTTTTAATCAACATCTACGCCAAAATAAGGTTACTACTTTGACTAATTTCAAGTTATTTAAACGAAATGCATGAGTTCAACAGCTTTGTAAACATGTTTAATTACTTGACAAAAAAAAGATTCTTATTATATATCGCTCGATTTTTGCAGCTGGTTGACAAGATCAAATTGTGGACTTTCCGTTCCTTAATACTTACATTCGTTTAGAACAAAACCTATGTGCAGTATCCTCTATAAATTATTATTATAATTAAGAATTATAACTAAAGCGTCTACATGTAAGTTTTAGCGTAATTAAAAGTAATTGAACTATCCTGACTGTTTAACAAGGCATTTGAATGAAGCGTGCCCAAGGCTGAGAAACTAAATTAAAAGAAAGATACAGCCGACATACTTGTAATACTTCATTGCAAGCGCATAATGCATTCCATATGCACGTTTTGACTTACCGCTGAAATGCGGTAAATTAAATATAGACTCATACTTGCTTTGAAAATTTATAAGGGCGAGGAAAAAAGACCCTCTCACCCCATACGGATCCGTGAATAAGGTTGTTAAAAAAGAAAATTGCAAAAAAAGTGTCGACGCAGCGAAAGCGGCTCGCTTTGATGAACTCTGCCAGAATTGCTGTCGTTACGCACCGGAACACCAACATTTAGAGAAATTTGCTTAGCAGGGTGGCTCGGGTGTTTGTCAAGAGACGTTTCTCGTTATGAGAGGTGACAGCTTTAAGAGATATGTTTCTGCGCCTTCCCGCTCTTGTTTGCTCAAAAGTACACCTGTTGGTATTTTTAATCGTTTGCTTCCGAAAAGACGTTCGCGGTTTCTCTGAACTAGTTTAAAGTGCTTTTACCGCATATGAGACAAAGAGATACTAAATTTGATTGAATCACTTTATCTTGAAGTCAATCAGAGACTTGACGCTGGAGATCATTCCGGAGTTGTTTAAAAGACCAAAACCAAAATAACAAGAAATGTGGGCTGTTTCGAAAAAAGGCTATGTCGTAAAAAGCTTACACAAGCAAAATCTAATCTTTTAATAGATTCAGCTTTAATGCAAAGAATTCTGAATATTTCCCGCACATATATTTGAAAAGATATTCTATTTTAAATAATATAAAGCGATCAAAAACTATTATATTACTATCAGTGTCTGCACACTTCTTGCTCAAACCAACCAAATGAAAGGGGGGAGAGCAGATTATACTACCTATTTTTTATCAAGTATGTGAGATAGAATATGTTGTTACTTCATTTCAAAATGCTGAATGATTAAATATCGAGACCTTTGTGTTCTTTAGTGTACATAAGAACAAATGAACTTACTTCGTTCCGATGCTAAACATGCTATTTCCAGAAAACTACAAAAAAAAAGTAAATATATAAATAAATAAATAAAACTTTTAGTTTTGCGTCCCGTTATAAAGCAAGTTGATTGATTTATTAATTGTGGGCTATTGTTTGCTGACGTCACAGCAAGATTAGGAGTCTAAAGTGTTATGTACCAGCATGAAACCCAATACATCAATTCCTGTCCAACTGTGAATGGATCAGCAGCACATGATAGATATCTGCTTTGAAAAGAAAACCGGAAAGTCAACTTTACGAATGGGGAAATCTCAGTGCAGCCAGTCCATGCACTAGCAACTGAACCGAGGGTAAACTAATAAGATTTTATCGACTAGACCTTTGATGCACTGGTAGCATGGCAGTGGGTGACTGCAAGACAGTAGTTGTACTAGGGCATTTTGAGTTATTTACTCATCAGTATGCATTTATTGACATGCTATAGAAATCTGAAGGTGAGTATAAGAAATGTTAGAATTGTGAAAAGTTTTGTGTACGGTCAAGTAAGTAGTCCTAAACACGAAATACTAAGTACTGTGTCTACAACAAGAATTAGCATAAGTTTGCAGTAGAAGTTTCGAAGGTTAATAGAACCTCCTTCTTCAGCTGCCGAAGTGAAAAGACGAAGGGAAAGCATGTGCTCACGAGATAACAACAGACAAATGGAAAAAAAAAAAAAAAAGTGCGAGAAGAAATTATTCCGTAATTATTTTCACTTTTAGTCACCAGTAGCTTTGGTTATTTCCTTAGCTGGAACTTTTGCGAATTTTTGTCTATTCTTATCACGTGAACATATATTGTTGGAATGGGAAATACAGGCAGTCTTACTATGAAACATTTGCTCAACTGGATATTCAAGAATTTGAATGCATGCCAGTAAGTAATAAATACTTTTTTTTTTTTTTTTCTTTTTAAAGTGCAAGTGCTTACTAAAAATATAAACAAGATTCTTACAGAAGCAAAAATAATTGGATTTAATAGAAAATTTTAAATTTATGTAAAAACTGTTTTCATTTCAGTAACCATTTTTTCTTTGTTAAATAATCAAATATTCCACAATTGTCTTATAACAAAAAAACAATTTATCTGTTCGTTACAAGCAACACTTTTTGAGATCGAAATCTCCTTCTTATCTTAATTAAAGGGAAATTTCATATCTATAGATATGGAATTTCCCTTTAATTCTTGAATATCAAGCTGTCACTATATTTCCCAAGTAAAAGAAATACGCCAGAGACATCGTTACAGACAACCATATACTCTGAGAAAAACCATACCTCAGACGAACATTTATTAAGTATTACAATAAACGAAAAGATACGTAAAGAACATGTCATCTTTCCTGGCACATATTCTCTTTGATATAGCAAATACAAGTACCGTTCAGGAAAAGGACAAAGCCTACGGTGGATAAAAGGCGTGCCAAGATCGCCTATGTTAAGTTGCTTTCACACTGGCTTTTATTTTCCTGAATATGTTTCTCACGGTAGACTGAATTTCGTTAAGCGGTGAGGGCCATAGGGCCCCAAACAAAGAAGAGGCGTGGTCATCTGCGCATTCTGTGAACAAATGAATCTGCAAAGAGGTTGTCACATGTGACAAGTGCTCATGGTTTATTCCTCGCCGTTCATTCATTGTCCGAGTCTCATGAAAAGCTTGTCAGTTTATTGTGTGTTTAGCGAAATGATAAACTCGTTAATTTTGCAGTGCCAACTACCTTCAGCAAGAATACGTAAGAGATTAAAAAAATGAGAGACTTAATAATTATGCTATTCGAGAGTATTAATTGCAACACAAAAGTCTGTTATTTTGATATACCTTTAAAATTCTTTTATCTTCTCACTACCAATCAATCAGTTAATTCAAATCATAAAAAATATGGAATACTGGCATTTTCAATTCAATCAAATAACTCCCGCCACTTAATTAGTAGATAACAAATAGCTAAGAAATTACAGTCGTCAGTAGTCCTCAAAGAACGGCATATTTATTCGCAGCAAAATCGATGTAGACCTCGCTATTTATTGCCAAACTAGTTTTTACTTGGAAAGCAGCCTTATTTTAATTTTTAAGTGTTCATTTTAACCCTTTCGCCGTCCTCTCCTGTCCGCGAAAATTTCTCCGCAGCGGCCCTTTGTTTTTCGCAGCGTGTAATGTTGTTTTCTCTGTACATACATAACTTCCGTAGTGGATGAATGTAAATGCATATTAAGTAAAATTTAAGAAATAAAGCATAATGGAAAATAATAATATCTCTGCTTATTTCTACAGCAGATTAATTTGATAACATCTGATCCAGGCGGGTCCACTCCCATTTTTGTTGTTATTTTTACAATTATTGGTATTTTTACAGTTCTTTTCCGTGTTTAACATCAAATCATCAGTTATTCTGGTGCACTCATCAAACGTATATCCTTTTGTCTTTGTCCAATTCGACCTCATTTTCTACTTTTTCTGCTGAGTACACTTTGAGATCTCTCACTGTCTCGATCTTATGTAAAATGGCGCGATATTCATAAAACCCGGGGGGGGGGAAATTCAATTAGAAATAGAATGCCTGATTAGTACTGCCCTCTAGGATGTATTAAAACAACCAAAAATAAAAACTCAAACAAGTAAACATTTAGAAAGCGTTTTAAACGTTTAAAAGTTTTAAAAATGTAGAAGAACGCTTGAAGAGCGTTACGGCCGCCCTGCAGAAGTTTCACTCGAACGCGCTAGACGCGTTACGGACGACGAAGAGGTCAAGTGGAAGAGAGCGGGATATTATCACATCAAAATTATTAGGTCAAGTGGAAATTACCAAGAATTAAGTAAAGTAGCAGAAAATTGCAATATGCGGTGTTTCTTTTGCAGCAAGAAAAAACAAAACAAAAACTTACCTTCCGCTAGGTACTTGACATTTAATTGATGCTCGTGCTGTGGTTTGGCACATTTGTGACGAGGCGAAACTTTTTCTCTGTCTTTTTTAGGGCCTAGGCTGCGAAAAAGACGGCATAGAGGGCCCTTTTTTTTGTTTTGCTCCGTCGTTGGCTCTGCATTAGAATTATTCGAATCTGAAACATGAGAGGTAATTTAATGGAAAACTTTAAAAACTGAAATAAACAAAACAAGTGTAGGAAAATAATGTTTAAAAAATATATATACAAACACTTATCTAAATTCTGTACACGATTGCTGCTAATTCGTCATTGTGTATGCATAAAACGTTGTTCTTTCGACGAGTTGCTTAAAATTGCTGATGCCAAACATGTAAGCAATTTTTCCTCGAAAGAAAAATCAATATTTTCTTAAATCACTTATCATTGTTGAAACGCCTGTTTTTTCTCAAAGCGGGATAGTACATAATAACAAGTTATGCCTTCAGTTAATACAAAGGCTGTTCGCACATTTTTTAGACGATTTTCATTGTATTTACAAAAATAGTTTACCTAAAAGTTTTGCGTTTTAAATGTTCCAAGATGGTCCCGAAATTCATCTATTGTGACAACATTTTCCTAGTTTTTCATAGAGAATTATGCAGCGCGTTCTGCTTTCGGCGATATATCGTGGAGAAAGACGACGCACATTACCTTTTTTTTTTTTTTTTTTCGCCTTTTAACCCTTTGTGGCACAGTGTGTCCGGCCTGGACACACCTAAAAATTTCCATCTGTACACACAGAAAAATTGAATGAAAAAGGATTTATAGGTTACTATAGGTTACTCTGAACCTTCTTTATTTATAGTAGATGGCAGCTCAATACAAACCAGTCCATATATTTTAGCCATGTTTAGTTTTTCGAGACCCTCATTTTTCAAAGAAATCTTCCAGATTTCAGAGCGGCCGAGCACAAGTCATTGAACACTGGTAGTTCGGTTCGGGATTCGAATCCCGGTGAACGGATTAGCTGCAAAGGCACTTCTGTAGTATATCCCATGTATAACATGCATACGAGACAATTTTCCTTAGAAAGTCCTCCCTTTCCCTAGACAGAAAGCCCTCGAGTACTTTGCCATAGTCGAATAAACCAAATTAAACCGAAATAAAGGCTAGATAACGAGTTTTGTGGATACGGTGTACATAATATACATTCACATTAACGTAGCGCATAATGACTTAACACTGGTTTAGCATTTCTACAGAAACACATCATAATCACTGAAGTTTAAGGCTTAACCGTATTGTGTTATTTCCATCGAAAATTCGAATTCTTATATATATTTTTTTAATATTACTTGATATCGATTTCCTTTTAATTAATGCAAAAGTTAATAACTTTGCGCTGAAAGAAGATGAAACGATAATATCAAGTGCATTAATTACAAACTGGTGAGAAATAATCTTTTTTAAAAAACGAAAAAGATTCAAAATATTTATGGCGTAAGCTTTAAGTACTTCCACTAATAAAAAATATCAGCTACACTGGAAGTGCATTAAGAAATCAGCTATAAGTGAGTTCCCTCGTTGAAAATTTTTGTTGATAAATAAGCATCAGCTACATTCTTATATTTGCCTATCAGTTTCTCAAAATATGCATTTCTGAAAAACATATAAAAAACATTTAAATTAGCCATATTTCCTTAAGCAAAATTTGAGCTAAACAGAAAACATTTATTTTGAAACGATTTAGTAGCTTTTGCAAAAGGGTGTTTACTCTGAAAAGGTTTATTTTAAGAGAAATTAACTTTCAAAATTTTTTGAAAAAGATGTGAATGTATCTTCTAATTTAAAAATACACTAATGAAGTTGTTGTTAAAATTATGCGCACAGTTAAATAACGATATGTAAATTATATCGATATTTGGCGGCACAACGCAGTTTGGTAGTTTTCCAGGATTTTAAAATGCTAATATCCGAGTTCCCAGATGATAGATTCTAGGAATGAGAATATAAAATAGGCAACGAATAGATATACATGCAAAAACTTAATTTATTAGTCCAAAGGGGCAATTTGCCCAGAAGGACTATTAATTTCGTTTTAGCATTTAGCGTTGATTCACTACAAGCGTTGTTTCACGTTTCAAACTGTTGCCACCAAATATTATCGCCTTGTATTATATTTGAAGAAATTAAATAATGAAGAATCTGCATAAATATATGCATGTTTCTCACATTGTGATAAAACAACGGTACCTAGAGCTATCCAATTTTGAATGTCGTAATCCTACTTTGAATATGGGCATCTGGAAGCTAAAATTTGAAATTTGGAATTTGTTTTATAATCGGTTTCATATTTTGTAAAACTTTAACGAATTTTTGATTAATAAACTCACGGATTTCAAAGCGAGCCATGGCAACGTTGTACAGAAAAAAACATTTTTATCTCCAGCGCGAGAGACTGTGTATCGGAAATTCTAAAGATATGTTCGTTTTAAAATTATTTTGCGATATTTCTCTTGAACAGAGTTTTATGGTTTAAGTGCGAAGAACATGATATTTAATAAATAAATGTAACACACAAAATATTTTTTAAAAAAAAAGTCCCTTTGGGCGTTATTTAAAATCTGAAAGGTTTGATGTATTTGAATATGCCAAAGCCACAAGGTTCGGTTTTGGTTTGGTTTATTGAGATTACGGCAAAGCACACTAGGGCTATCTGCCTAAGTGGAGAGGTGCCTTCGTGGAGGACATTCTAAGGGAAACTGGCTCGTATACACTTTACACATGGGGAAAACCACGAAAACACCCATGCAGCCAGCCGTTTGCGTGATTCGAACCTCGGACAGAACTACCAGTGTTCAGCGACTCGGCCGCTGGTGGGCCCCAAAGCCACAAGGATTATCTGCCGAAGAGGAGGGATGCCTTTGTGGAGGACTTTCTGAGGTGAACCAGGTTCGTATTTACGTTACACGTAAGTGAATCATGCAACGAGCCCATTCGCTTGGGATCGAACCCAATCAGTTTTAATCCATGCCTTGTCAACTACATAACATTTCGCGGGCTAGACCCATCTGCGACCCCCCCCCCCCGATATTAGGAACGGGGCGGGCATACCATCCAAAAAGCCACCTTGGAGATGGTTCTTACACTCCTACTGACTTTCGGAGACCACATCCCCCGAAAACATCAGTATTTTTAATTATCTCCAGACTCGGCGCTGAACTGATCAACTAAGATATCCGTTTCAGCGATCAGACACCACGATGGGGTGGGCTGATAGTCAGGAGCTCTGACTGGTTGTTAATGATGCTACCTACCAGTACTACGTGGACAGCCCCTCCCTCCAGGCTTTACACACAGAATACCGAGGACAGCGGAGACTGGACTTTCACTGGCCCAGGTGCTATTCGGCTACTGATACCCCACTTACGGGGACCTACGCCGCCGGACTCACGAAAGGTCGGGATAAAACCCTTCCCCATAGATCGTCGGAAACCGCCAGGCTCATGAATTTTATACCCCGTGGCCGAGACTACCTAGGTACAGATCCTAGCCAGTAACTGTACAGAGCGCTGCGTTGAACCCCAGGGGGAGTTCGAACCAGTATGGTGTTTGGTGTATTTGATTATGGCAAAGAACTCGAGTACTATCTGCCTAAGGGGAATGGATGCCCTCGGGGAGGACTTTCTGAGGGGAAATGACTCGTTTACACGTTACACATGGAGAAAAACAAGAAAATGCCCACGCAGCCAGCCCTTTCGCGGAATTCGAACCTCGGACCGAACTACCAGTGTTCAGCGCTCCGCCGCTGGTTGTCCTACCAGTATGAATGCGATCTCAATGGTGAAATGGATAATGTCAATAATTATTCGCCTGCATTTGCCTCTAGAACTGACTGATATTAAAAAAAATTGATTGATGTGTATTAGGATGAATTCAGGTAAACTTACCACCTTTTTCAATTATTTAACACCTAGTATCATGTTTATGATCGAATTACTTGTCAGCCCTTTTTTAACTCGTAATTTAGTTGACCCCCTTTCCAAACTTAAGTAATAAAAAATTTTGCAAAAAATTCTTCGTTATACACAGAAATATACGGCACATGGTGTTTTTAAGAAAACCTATAAAAATCCTTATTAAGTGTTTTTCCTCGTGCATAATGTGAACACGAGAAAGTTTCTCTAATAAAGGCCTCTGCGAAAGCATCCTTCTCTTAGCAGATAGTCTTCGCGTATTTAAATCAATTAAAAAAAAAAAAAAAAAATCTGAAATGTTTCAGATTTTAAATTACGTCCAAAGGGGCGTTTTTTAACATTTTGTGTGTTACCTTTCTTTATTAAATATCATGTTCCTCGCTCTTTAAATCATAAGATCCAGTGCAACAGCAATATCGCAAAATAGTTTTAAAACGAGCATATCTTTAGAATTTCCGATACAGAGACTCACGCGCTGGAGATAAAAATGTTTTTTCTGCACAACGTTGCCATTGCTTGCTCGCTTTGAAATCCTTAAGTTTGTTAATTAAAAATTCGTCAAAGTTTTAAAAAATAGGAAATCGATCATAAAACAAATTTCAAATTTCAAATTTGGTCTTCCACATGCTCATATTCGTTGGAGGATTACGTTATTCAAAATTCGATGACTCTATGTACCGTTGTTTTAATCACAATACGAGAAATATACATACATTTATGCAGATTTTCATTATTTAATTTCTTCAAATATAATGCAGGACTCTAACATTTTGTGGCAACAGTTTGAAAAGTGAACCGACATTTATGAGTCCGACGCAAAATGCCAAAACGAAACTAATAGTTCTTCGGGATTCAAATCCCTTTGGACTAAAAAAAAAAAAAAAAAAAAAATCTGAAATGTTTCAGATTTTAAATTACGTCCAAAGGGGCGTTTTTTTAACATTTTGTGTGTTACCTTTATTTATTAAATATCATGTCTTTGCACTTAAACCATAAAATTCAGTTCAAGAGCAATATCGCAAAATAATGTTAAATTAAGCATACTTTAGAATTTCCGATATACAGATTCTCGCGAGCTGGAGATAAAAGTATTTTTTTTTCTATAAACGTTTTCTGCTCTCTTTGAAAGCATTGTTTGTAAATCAAAAAATTCGTGTTAAAGTGTTACAAATATAAAATCTATAATAAACCAAAATTCCAAATTTGGATTTCAGATGC